GTAGTGATACTGCCTCGGAAACCCAAGGAGGGGTCGCTGTGAGTCGGGGCCGACTCGACGGCACATAACAACAACAACAAGTTTACTAAAAAACACATTTCCATGGAGTTGACTTCCACTCACGGTGACCTATGTGTGTCGGAGTATAAATGTGCTCCACGAGGTTTTCAATGGCTATGATCTCTCAGAAGTAGTTCTCCAGGCATTTCTTCCCAGCCTCTAACTTTTCAGTTAGCAACTCAGTGCGCTAACCATTTGAGTGGTGCCTAAGGCATATGACTGCTAATCAGAAGGCTGGTGGTTCAAATCCACCAGCTGCTACTCCTCGGATGGAAGACTGGGTAATCTACTTCCATAGAGATACTGCTTTGGAAACCCAAGGAGCGGTCACTGTGAGTCAAATCTGACTCTACAGCAGTGAGTTTGGCTTGGTTTTTTGGTGACTCTTACTAAATTTGCGACTCACTGATTTCTTTTTGTTGTTGTTGTTTTCTGGTAAAAATATAAACATGTCATCCTATCTTGAGAATTATCCAGGCAAGTGAGCAAAAGAAAAAAAAAAAAAAAAGACGACGACCTGTGTGGTGCAGTGAAATAGTTGGCGTGGCTCTTCTAGCCATAGTTTTTGTGACTTGCACCAGATGACTGGGTGGAACTATGCAAATGTAATATGCTCCTGGTCCACCAAGTGGAATGGATAGCTTTATAATAATGTAAATAAGGTACAAGGCACGCTTGCCAGAGTGGACCATGGAAATAAGGTGCCTGGAACCCTAGTGTGAGGACTGGTCAGTTTTCCTATCCTGCTAGGCTTAAAGTGAGCCATCCCAGAGGAAGTAAAGGGTACATCTCACTGCCACCAAGCACAAGGAAGCAGGAGTGGAGCATGTCCTTGGACCCCAGATCCTTGTGCAGGGAGACAGCAGAGAGACGGTGGCAAGCAGAGGCAGCAGAACCAAGAGATCAGCACAAGACAGAGCAGCAGGCTTACTGGCCCAGAAAGCAAGAAAGCTGAGTGCCTTTTGGCAGGAGGCTTGCTGGCAGAGTCAGATGCACCTATCAGTGGAGCTAAAGGAGCTTTGTAACATTTACTTGAACAGGGCAGAGGCCAGGTGGAGAGGCCAATGGCCAAAGAGAGGCATGCCTGCGGGCACGATAGAGAAGAGGCTGTCCTGATTGAAGAATTGTATACTGAACTTTCCCGAACCTGAATTCATGCCTGTTACTTCTCTACTAAGCTCCATAATCCTAAATATTGTCTGTGAGCTGTGTGTGGCCACTGCAACAAATTATTGATACCAGCAGAGAAGTAGTGAGTGCCATGGGAGGGATGGTTGGTGTCAGAATTGGTAAAAAAAAAAAAAAAAAGGTTGGAGGGTAGCAGCACTTCATAGGAACCAGCCTTGGGCTGGTTCTGACAGTGATTTTTCTTTCCTCCTTATGAAGTTAGAGGAGGTCAGAGGATGCCGCCTCCATGCCCTTTATGCAACCTGTAATCAGTCTGTCATTTTGCTCAGATTTGGCTCCTATCTCAGAATTAGCCAAAATATTGTCCAAAATTTTTAAGCTACAAATAATATGTAGAGATGGTCATCATTTTTGATTTTCAAAAGTTTCTAAGAGAACGAATAAATCCCATGTTATAGTGAGAAACACATACATAAATACTTTTTAAACTTTTGAAAGAAAATGTTTCTTGACTAGAGTCCTAATAAAAATGTAAGTAATATAAAGTAAATAAGTCATAATGCATATTTTAAATTAATAAAACAAACATGCCACAAATTATAACAACACTAGCTATTCTTTTTTATAAGTGGCACTTCACATAGATTATCTCATTTTAGTATTTTAAGAATATATACATTACTTCAGAGCAATAGTACTTTGAAGGAAGCCCTTGTTTTAATGGAAGAAGTTTTTGCATAGTCCTTGGGGTAGTGTGGTTATAATCACACCCAATATAACTAAATATAACAGATGAGGTGAGTTAACCTGCTGTGGAAGTTCTAGTGTACAACAGAGCTCTCCTCTGTCTAGAGGTATCTTTGGCTAATCACACCGAATCGAGTAAACTTTTAAAACTCTCCTTTGAAGGCAATTTAGCACATCAGCTCAAAGACAACACACAGCGCTGATGATCAACTCTCTATTTGGGAGCTCTGGTAGTGTAGTGGCTAAGGCATTTGACTGCTAACCAGAAGTCTGGTGGTTCAAACCCACTAGCTACTCCTCAGAAGGAAGATAGGGCAATCTACTTCTGTAGAGATACTGCCTCAGAAACCCAAGGAGGGGTCAGAGGGGTCGCTATGAGTCAGATCCAACTTGACGGCAGTGAGTTTATTTTGAGCTGAAGAACTCCTGGGTAGAGCAAACAGTGAGAATGTTTCACTGCTACTGGAAGGCTGGAGGTGTGAGCCCATTCAGAGATGTCTTAAAAGAAAGGCCTAGGGAGCTTCTGAAAAATCAGCCATTGAAAACTCTTTTGGAACCATTGCAGAGATTGTAGTGAATGTCACAAAACAAAATGGGTATGAATTGCTGAAGAGAAAATCTATTTGCTCTGTAAACTTTCACTCATATCACAATTAAAAAAAAAAAAAAAACTCCATGGAACACTGTTCTGACACACGGGGACCATGGGTCTGATTCAGCTCAATGGCAACTGTTTTTTGTTGTTTTTTTATTAACAAAAAGATGACATTTCCCTACAGTCTGAGGAAAAAGGAAACACTTGATTTCACTGTCTGGCCATCCCCAGTGGCTGAGCCAAAGACTGTATTAAATGAGGTAATGTACTGGCTTCTAGTCAAAATGGAAACCCATTAACTTTTTATTCTTCTGGAGAAGTCAATAAGGCAAAGCAAGTGTGTGAACAGAGAGGCATGAAGGAAGTCCCCAACTAAAGTTACCTTCACCAGTGGAAGCTGTTAGGTGGGAAGGCACAATTAAAGTACTGTCAGCCTCAGGACATGGGGAAGGGGCCAAAATCTTAGAGCTGGTGAACTGAGACCCCCAAAGAGAGCTTCCTGAGAGCACAGCCTGCTTTTCCACTGAGCTCAAAGGCAAGTCTCTACTCTTCTCACAGGAGTCACGGGCATGCTGAGGAGTGTCCTCCAACAATGCTGTCTCTGTCAGGGAGTCCCCAGGGGATGATGGTGAAGGGCCTGAGGGAAAGGTGGTATCAGCCACAAAGTGGCTCCCATCCTTCCCCACTGTTGCCACTGGGAGGTGTAAATCCTGCAACTGCGGCTGCACACAGTGGAGGTTAATCCAGGGGGCTTTGTGCCTCACGAAGCTGACGTTTAATGTGCAAGGGGGTTGGTCAGAGTCCGAGATCCCAGGTGAACCATCAACATCTCCAGAGTCATCAGTAATCTCTTCCCAGGGTTCCATGGGAAATTCTTGCTGGCCCATAGACTGTAACTCCATCTTTCGAGGATCAAGATTTGTGTGATGCCATTCAAAACAGGAGGTGTTCTCTTATGACTGCTGCACACCTTGATTGAGGCCTCGAAATCACCATGTGGCCAGCTAGAGATCTGGAGCGCTTATCTGCAATGAGCAAGCATCATTCAAGAGAATTAAAGGTTTGATTTAAAAAAAAAAAATCCAAATTATTTTGAGAAGGCAGAAACTTTTTAGTTTGTTCTTCAACTCATAAAACACAATAAATTCTACTTGGGTTTACAAGTCCAAAAAAAGCCATAAAATTGGTAGCAAACACAGGTGGCCTGACATTGGGGTAAAAAGGCTAAGAAAGGTTTTTCAAAGAATACAAACAACTGAAGAAGCAACAAAAGACTTAAGACTGGTAAGTGATATAAAAACAGAAAACATTGATACATCAAAACTATTCCAATTAAATTTAATATCAAACCCACAATGAGAATCATAGTTGGAGCAAAGACAGTTTTAAATTTTCTTGTTTTTATTTAATTTTTTGTACTTCAATAAAGTAGGGGAAACCAAAAAAACTAAACTCACTGCTGTGGAATCAGATCTGACTCATAGTGACCCCTCCTTGGGTTTCCGAGGCAGTATCGCTACGGAAGTAGATTGCTCAATCTTCCTTCTGAGGAATGGTTGGTGGATTTGAACTGCCAGCCCTCTGGTTAGCAGTCAAATGCCTTAGGCACTATGCCAGCAGAGCTAGGCAAGTGACATATAAAAGGGGGTTTTAGCAGCACTATGCTGCATTAAAAAAAAAATAAAGATTCACATTAAATATTTACTTTAAAATTTGTTACTTTAACATTTAAATACTCAATATTTAACATTAAATATTAAACATCAAATATTTATTCTAATATTTGTTAAATGCTATTTAATATGTATTATAAATGACTATTATAATTATTGTGTGCTCAAAATAATAATCTTTTATGAAATAATAATTAAACTTTGAAATGGTTTGTCCACTTCTAAGTTCAGTTTTTAGCTTTGGTTAAGTGAGGTGCTGATTAAAATGTGGAGAGGTATAAGAGATAAACAAAATATAGCATAGCCATAAAATGGAATACTGTTGTTGTTGTTGTTGTTGTTTTGCCGTCGAGTCGGCCCCGACTCATACTCAACTATAATTAGTAATGAAATACTGACATGTAACAACATGGATCACAAAAACATTTTGCTGTGTGAAAGAAGCCAGTCACAAAAGAAAAATACATAGAAAAAAACTAGCAAGGTAATGTATTGAAACCTACTCATAATCAGTAATTTCACTGTAGAGAAACAGACCTAACACAGACTTTAAATTCCTACGATGACTATGTTGTGGTGGTAGTGGTGGTGGCCACTGAGTCGATTCCAACTCATAATAACCCCAAATGACAGAGAAAAACTGCCCCATATGGTTTCCTTAGCTCTAATCTTTACGGGAGCAGATTGCCAGGTCTTTTCTCTTATGGAGCCACAGGTGGTTACAGAAAGAACTAAACCCAAACCTGTGTACAAGCCCTGGAACCCCCAGGGCTACTGGCCAGGAAGGAATCAACATGGTCAATGCGCTGATTTGGACTTTTAGCTACAATTGTGAGAAAAAAAAATAAATGTTCTTTAAAGCCAAGAAGAAAAATAATTGTGGAGATCTACCCAAATGAGAGGTACTCTTATAACTGTATTCAGGCCCAGCAAATGTCTGTTTTTACTGTTCCCCCTCTCTCCCTCACATTGCAAAGCCAAAAGCAACCTCAATGACAAAATCAAGTCCAGCAAAGAGAAGGTCTATCCATAGAGGCAGTCAGTTTAGGAAAGTTTAGCCTTACGAAGGGTGATATACACATGTGTACAGTGGCGACTGCAAGACACTGGAATCAGTTCCATAGTTTATATACATAGGGCCCTGAGTGGTGCCAATTGCTTGAGCTTGGCTGCTAAACAAAAGGTTAGCAGTTCCATCCCATCCAGTGGCCCCGAAGAAAGGCCTGGCAATATGCTTCTGTAAATATTACAGGCAAGAAAGCCCTACAAAGAAGTTCTACTCTGTCACACACGCAGTCACATGAATCCAAATGACTCGATCACAAGGTACGTATGTAGACAACTCCCACATGCAAATCTTCATTCCTGATCTCCCTGCTGAACTCTAGGACCGTATATCTTACTGTTCATTTACCACATGTTTAGTGGGCATCCCAAACCTCATCCATCTAGAACTGATTTTCTCCAAATCTGTTCCTCTCCCAGTTTTCCCCATCTCAGGAAATACACCTCTCAGATGCTCAAACCAAAAATCTAGGAGTCATTCCCTAAATATTGTCTTTACCTAAATTGCCACCTTTAATTCATCAGCAAGTTTTTCTAAAGTAAGTACCCTAATCTAAGTCACATCTTCTCCCACCTGGATAGCCCACCATACTTTCCCAATGGCTCTCGTCCCTTCCACTGTCACCTACGTACAATCAAGAAGTGTCCAGGGGGATCTTTGAAAACAATCATTCTTGTAAATAAACCCCTCAATGGCTTCCAATCGTACCTGGCATGAAACCCAAACTCCTTACTTTGTCCTTAAAGCCAGACATGACCTTCCCCTGCAGACCCCTCTCAAACTGCTTCCCCCAACCAACAGCAAGCTCTTGAGTTCACTGAGCTCTTTCTCACTCTTGGGGGACTGGTCTAGTTCCTGCTGCCTAGAATGTTCTTCTCCCAAATTACCATATACCTGATTCCTTTCTGTCACACATACCTCAGTGTATGAACTGCTTCCTCAAAGAACTCTATCCTAACCACCTCTTTTAAGTGCAGTTCCTCAGACACTCCCTATCATATCACCCTGTCTAATTTTCATCAGAGTAGTTTTCACTATCTGGGTTGGTTAGCTCTTCGCTGTTAGTCTGCCTCAACTACAAGCTCCAGGAGAGCTCCAGGAGAACTTGTTAGTTCTCCTCCAGGTCACATCCTCACACCTAGATGAGAAGTGTTATAGATGAGAGCAAGGTGACCCCTGTGGGTCAGAGTAGAACTGTGCTCCTAGGGTTTTCAGTGGCGGATTTTTCAGAAGCGGACCACCAGGCCTTTCTTCTGAGGCACCACGTGGTGTGCTTGAACCCACAAGCCTTTGGGTAGCAATTAGAGGCATCAACCACTTGCACCACCCAGGAATGGTTTAATAAATGCTTATTGAAGGTACAAATAAATTCAATAAAGTCAGAGCCAGAGAAAAGGTTTCTGTGGTTGACACAACTGTTCTATTATTGGGCAGCATTATTCACACAGGAACAGAAGTGGATCCATTATGTAAAGATGGGAAATATTTCTCATGCAGTGCTTAGAGTGATAAGGTCTAAGTTGAAATAGGCCAAAAGAAGGTATACATGAAAACTGGACTACATGTCCATGGGTTTTCTTGACTGGGGGGGTGTCCTTGGACCTAGGTCACATGTAAGTGATGTTCCCTCCAAACTCATTCTCTGTTAACAGTTTGGAACTATGAAAGGACCACCCTCAATGCTTGGATCGATTTAATCAACTCTCCTAAACTACATTCTGCTTTTAACAAAACCATCATTTGGTTTTACTCATTTTATTGGATTAGCACATAAAGGGGAAAAACAAAATCCCCATTATGTCAGTTTGCTTGAGCTTAAATCAGGAATTGGAAAGGATGGAAGGGTTTTATTGTCTCAAAAAGGAAACAACTAGAATAAACTTTAAGTTACTTTGGCTTCCCAATAGTATGAAAATTCAACTTTCTTTCTTAAAAAATCATTGAAAAAAATAATCCCTATGAGACAGTACCAAAATATGTGTGTGTGTGTGTGTGTGTGTGTGTGTGTGTAGGCTCTGGTGGCTCAGTGCCTAAGGCATTTGACTACTAAACTGTGGTTCAAACCCACCAACCACTCCTTGGAAGGAAGATTGGGCAACCTACTTCTGTAGAGATACAGCCTTGGTCACAATGAGTTGGAAAAATGACTCAACAGCAGCTTCATTATTCAGCGCATATATGTATGTATGTATGTATGTATGTATGTATGTATGTATATCTTCCAAAATTTTCTCTGGCATTTTTATCCAGAAAGATATTATACAGTGAATTAAGTAATTTACTCAAGTTCTACTTGATTTTCAATGCTCACTTCATCTTAAATCTAGTTTAAATAAAAAGTTCTAAGTAAAGAAAGATCAAGACAAAGTTTCTGATTTTAAAAATAAATAAATAAATAGATGCATCCTGAAAACACTGTACAAGTCCCAAACCACCATTCACAAAGTATCACAGGATACGGCCCTGGGAACTGCCAGAACACACTACACCAAAGAACTTCATCTTCCTTTTCCTGACCCCACCTTCCACTTTGTGCCCCAATTTCCAATTTCTCTTTGCGATGCATCTTTTCTTCTCCAATAACTATCATGTTGTTGTTGTTGTTTGCCGTCGAGTTGGCCCCAACTCATAGTGACCCCTCCTTGGGTTTCCGAGGCAGTATCACTACGGAAGTAGGATTGCCCAACCTTCCTTCCGAGGAGTGGCTGGTGGGTTTGAACCGCCAGCCTTCTGGTGAGCAGTCAAGTGCCTTAGGCACTATGCTACCAGAGCTCCTAATAACTATCATAGGAAACTATATATTTCTATAAAATATCAAACACACAGAGAGTGCATGAAGCACTCTCATCCCGCTAAACCCTAACCAATCCTATTTCATTCCCAAAACATTGTTAACAATTTTTTCCTTTTTGACCTTTTCTATGAATTAACATAATATCAGATCAAAATGTATTTTCTGTGTTTTTTTACATATTTACATGGGGTCATACTAGACATTTTATAGCTTATCTTCTTTTTCTCTCAACAGAATGTTTTCAGGATATTCATTATTCCTTAACTATATCACCACTTTCTATGGTATAAATGGACCATAATTTACTTAACCAAACTCTCGTTGATGGAAATGTTCGGTTCAATATTATAAAATTGAATCAGTGAGCAT